AAGTTTAATTAACCATCTGGTTACTTCAATTTTCACTCGGAGCAAAAATCAGCCTTTAAACTTGAAAGAAATAATGATTTGACATTTATCGTGATAACCTTTTTGGCCACATCGCCCAGCCCTCGGACGTAGCATCAAAATCAGATTGTGGTTGTATTTTTCCAGTTTTAAACAGTATTTTATTTGGAGAAACGCTGCTGTACCAGACTCCTCTGTGGTTACGTCAAATGTTTATCTGTCTTCATAAGACTCATTTGTATTGATGTAAACTGTGATGGGCTCATTCAAACACTTATAATTATATTCAGTGTGGGTATCTGTTTTTGAACCTTTTAACAATACTGTGGTAACTTTGGTCACTATATTAAATATATATAATACAATTTCATACCGTTTGATCTCTAGAAGCAACACACCTGCAGAGGACACACCTGCTGGCCGATAAGAACTATGGAGGTTTCAGACCGTCTGTTTACCTGCTTGTTGAGGAGCGGCTGCTGGAATACTTCAAAGAGGAGCCGAATGCCTTCGTATTTTGCCTCCTCGCCGATGCACTTCCCCACAAAGTCTGAAATCAAAAACACACGCTCTTATTAAACTGATGTCACGGTGTGTTTCGTTGAACTCTCAGTCTCACCTAAAGTTTTCATGTAAGATGCACCTGAAGCACATCAGAAACGAGTGGGATCTTTTCATTCACGTTAGTCTGAGGCGACCACTTAAATGCTCTGACATCTGTTCCTTCCACGTTTCAACTCACTTGGAAGGAACATGCTCACATGATAACGTGTATTTCTGAGAACACGTAGTGAAACTGAGGCCTTGATTTAGAATCCAGGGGAGACGGAAAATAATTTTAAAAAATAGTCATGGAATATTAAGAGTTTTTAACAATCTATCACAAGGATCCACAACCATTAACTAACGAGACCATAGCGGACCGCCACAGTCTAATTTGCTCCGCCATAGTTTCAAAATGAACCGAAAGAATTTTACACAACATTTCAGACCTCTAACGTTGTGTTTTGTGGGCGCTGCTCCACGGCACTCTAAGCTCGCTCGCTCAAACACTTATAATCGACTCGAGACAACCACTTTTCTTTTGAGTTAACTACGGTAACGGTCTCTTTTTGACACTTGTTTGTGAGAAGGCGATTAAGCTAGTCACACCTACATTTGGAGTGCACACGTATTCAAGCCTTTACGGTAAGTGAAGCGGCCCAGAGCGAGCTGACAGGCAGGTTAGAGACTTTATCCTGTCAGTTTGTCTCTTTACAAAGACAAGTGCTGCAGTATGAGAGTCCTGCCTGAAGAGAGGCTGTGAAGTGTTCATGTTACGCCGGACAAGAACCACATACAACATTATTTATCAAACCGGGTCGCACTGGATGAATTTAGCGCGAGGAGGAAACACATGTGACAACGTCCGGTTTACAAAATAAGGCGTCTGTACAGGATGGAAATAAGATTAATTGGATTATATTCACAGAAAGTATAAAACACATTACATGTTTCCATTAAAAGTAAAACACTTCACTTTATTGATTTAGGACTGCTGGAAAAACATTCAATAAATTTGTTGACTTTTGTTGCAGTTTCATCCAGTGGGTTTAGTTTTGTTTACTAGAGCACAACATTGTTTACAAGAGTGCAAAGTTCTTCATAGATAGCCTCTTAATTTTGCACCAAATTAATACATTTAACCTGTACAAAATTTTCTTCCCAGAGTGTTCAAGGACCGCCCAACAGTCTCAACATCGTGTGCGAAACACTGAACACCACATGAAGAAAACGTTGCCGCAGAATATGAGATGTTGGATGAAAACTGACCTGGTAAATATTTCATCATCTCCTCAAAGGTCTTCTTGGCTCTGACTTGTTTGTCCTCTGTGGTTCGCTGTACGCTGCTCTCACAGAAGACGGCGTCTGCGGGAATGAATCGGCACAAATACATCAAGCAGTCCATTCTGAGCTTTTTATATTTGTTCTTCCAAAAGATATATTGTTGTTTCTGTCTCTGTAGTTCAAAGACGGAAGAGGAGAGACAACAACTGCACAGACTGCAGATTCTCAAACCATCACACGTAAAAACCACACCTGGTAACTCTGCTGTCCACTTTAAGATTTCAGCAGAAAACTAATTGTACATTTTATAATGTGTGGTTCAAAAACTACTTCCAGTCATCCTCAGAGTTTTAACAAACCTGTATTTAGTGGGAATCTGTACATGTTGTGCATTTATACTTGGGCTGTAAGAGGAAAGAGAGACGCACCTCTGAGCTGTGTGATGAGGGAGACCAGGTGGTGCTCCTGGAGGATCTGCTCCAGTTTAGACAGCATGTACTGGTCCATGTAGGCTTCGAAGGTGTTCTTGAACAGGATCCTCCCCGCGGCCAGGATGTGGTGCAACCAGTCCGGTATGTGGAACGCCACACGACCTGTCACCCAAAACACAGAGTCCATACACCACTAAGCTGTGTCTGTATCTGAGGCAACAGTTTCCCATAAACACGGGACAGGAATGTGTTTTTGGACACTGGACGTTTTAAAAATCTAAGTATTTTAAAGAATGATGGTGGAAATCTGTCCACTGATATGTGCAACTGATGACGGGAAGCAATCAAGACATGTGGAGACATCTTTAAGAACAGTGCAGACCTCAGTGTTCATCTTTTCTTCTACTATTTGTCTTCACTGCTGGCGTGTTAGTTACTTAATTTTACTTAAAAAACACTTAACAGTGGTGACAATGACGCTAACTGGTGTTAAACTGTTGCTGTAAATCACTTTTAATGCACCCTAACTATATTTAAATCTAACTTCTGACCTCATCCCCGTGCTGACTTTGTCACCTGATGGTTTTTCTCTGACATTCACGTGTAAAATGACACGCTTGAGACGCAGTTGAGTGGCGCTAAATGGCGTGAAATTACACAAGACACCGGTGTGTCATTCACACGCCATTCGATGCTACCAGGCTCTTCTCTTTGTAGTGTTTTTAAATTATGTCCTTTCAAATCATGAACTCGTCTCTGTGTTTTTTAGTCCCGCTACAAATAAACTTGCCTTAAAACAGCTGTGAAATTCTGATTTATTGCCTTCATTATCCTTTTTCCCCCATCTGGTGTTACCGTGTTTGTTTTGTTCTTTCACTTCCTCTCCTCTTTAACAGAAACGACACAAATGTAGTCAGTAAACCTTTAACTTGTTGAAACTGAGAAAAATAACTTCTGTTCAGAAACAAGTTCCTTCAGATGTTTTCCATTAGTCTCACACCTCTAAATAAGTTTCAGCTCTTGGTATCGAGGGGGAAGTGCAGAAGGTCAAAAGGTCTGTTGGAAGAAACCAAATTTGCTGAGCACTGTGTTATACTTCAGTAGAGTTTGATTTGGTGACCGTCACTTACCGACGTACATCATGTAGTCATACATGCCGTCAACAGGGACCATATCCATGAAGCAGTTTTGGTTGCTTCTCCACTCCAGACTCTCTGCCAGGTTTGCGTTGTTCTTGAACAGGTCGCTGAAGAGCTGCAAAGCGAATGATCAGCGAGAGTCACGAATATTAGGATTTTGAACAACACTGGATGTGAATCTTGAAACTTATCGGGTTGATCTGCGGAGTCACGTGAAGTAAACCATGCCTTCAACTTTGTGAAGATTAACATCAACTTGTGGCAGGAATGCATTGAAGCGTAATTTAAAGCAAACGTTACTCTAAGTGCTCCTGCGTCAAGCGACATTACGCTGCTGCAGGGGGAGAGCTTGTTCCTCCGGACTGGACTTAATTCTGTAATCAATACTGGGATGGGGGCTGAAATCACCTAATTAGAGTGGATGTAAATGTAGGTTTGAACATTCTATATATTGTGCTGACAAAATTAGTTTCCTGCCCAACTCTTATCATACAGACTTGTCTTCCTCCCTGAGGACAGAGGAAATACTTTTCCTCTCAGACCTGATAAAATGGATGTTTTTAAACCGACAGGAAAGCTCCAGATAAAATGCTTCTGATTTGAGTTGTTTACCTCTTGAAGCTGATTATTAAAGTGTCAGACAGTCTGAGGACTTTGGGGATTTACCAGCAATGATAACACGAGACAAAAAGAGTACTCATATCCAGGCCTGGTGGGAGCATGTTTAGTTTGTGTTAAGAAGAATTTAATCTTTTTTTTTTTTTTTTTTTTACCCGCTTGTTGTTCTCGGTGGAGGGGCTGAGGATGGTCAGCTCGGGTCTGCTGGGTTTGGGTTTTGGCGACTCGCAGGAGTTGATGAAGGACTGGATGAAAGGCTCCAGGTTCTGTCCTTTCTGGAAAAAACAAGACGTCAGTTAAGTTTCACTGTTTAATATCACCTGCGTCACGATGAACTAGTCACAGCACTGACGGAGGGCGCTGGCTACGTGCCGCTGTGAGCATTTATTCTTGTTGGCGGCGGGGTTTTTAATGTTCCACTGTGTTGAGTTTCTTCTTCTTTGTTGGAGGAGGCTATTGCAAACAATGCCAACAGACAGTGAGCAGATCATGTTGGAGCTGATCTATATATTTCCAGGAAGTTAATAATTTTCAAAACAACTTTAATAATTTCTGCTCAGCCTGATTTCCCTTGAGGATCCTGGACTGAACGGTTATGTGGGAAATTCAGGCTCCACTGACTGAACAGCTCTGGGAGAATAAAGAAAAGTTCTCAAGAGGTGACTGTGTGTCTTATCTTCCACTCCCACACCCAGAGGTCAGCCACATAGCAGCACCTCGGGAGGCTGTGGGAGGCTGGAGGTTTACTGATTACTTAACTTGAACTCCTCTTGGTCCTCTGATTAAAAGGAAGTTTCCATCATCACTACTCCCTGCACAGTTATTGCTGCTGGGGAAACAAAAGCTTCACGCCAGAAGTATTTCCTTTGTGCAAATATTGTTGTTGTTTTTGGCTTAACATGATTCATAAAAAAATCCACTACATCTTGTTGAACGCTCACATCCCTCTAAAAATCAACTCCTTTTATGCAGCGTGAGATGTTTGCTGGTTGAACTGACATTAACAGATTACATTGAGCAGTGGTTGGCTATATATAAAATGTAAACAGTTACAGAGAGTGTCTGTTTTCCATGCACTGGTTTTAAATGGACAGCCAATACCTTAGAAGGAGTAGTTTACCACTCTCATGTCTGTACTGTAAATGTGCAGCAACAGCAGGCAGTCTGTTAGCTCAGCTTAGCATAAACACTGGAGAATTTCTATAGGTAGGTAGGTGTACAAATATTTAAAAATACCTCCATTATTATTCTTCATTTCAGCTCAGGAGGGACTCACCTCTTTCATCAGCTTCCCTGGTACAGACTTGAAAATCTTTCCTGTAAAACAAAGACTCAGTTAACAATCTAAAATAAATAAACTTTCGGGAGGAGGAAAAGCTGAAGGCACCGATAAGAAAAGATGATGATGATGAAAGGTGATATTTAGAAAAGGTAGAAGGAGAAAAGTCAGCAGGTTCGCTTTAGATAAAAAGAACACATTTATAAGTGGACTGAATTTGGGGGGATCTGAAGCCCAGGTTGAAGACTGTGGTTCATGTCTGTGCGGTGCAGATCAGCTAATCCTGGCCAGGTTGGGGTTTAGTTTTTGCACCTTGACTTGACACCTTGTCTTGACGCAAGCATTTGTCAAGTAGGGAAGTATGTTGTCTGTTCTTTTCTAAAAGTCGCAGGGCTCGAAAATATGTTGGAATCACAATCTACAATTACACAATCTCTAATTGTATGAAATCAGGTTTGGTTGGACAACAGCAACGACCACAACTCCTTCACGGAGGGACCTGCGAATGTTGTCAAAGCCTCTAGCTGCTGCTCAGTGACCAGCAGGGCAACACGGAGGTTGCAGAGCACTTCCTGAAGGCATGGAGGGAATGCGATGCTAACAAGCTGACCAATCACAGTTCTTGTTGTCTGCGTCAAGTAAAGTAGTGAAGTTTACGTACCCAGGTTGACATCAGGCAGCATCCTGTCCAGGAACTGAGACTCCATGCTGTACGGAGACAGGAAGTCTGCCAGCAGCTGACTGTTACTGAGCTCTGGATGCCGCAGGAGTCTCTGCACACAAACACACACCAGCAGCTTCATACATTTACACTTTAATTCAACTGCTGTTCTGCTGCAACACAAACGATCAAATCTGATAAATGGGACAAACATGAAATTATGCATTGAGTACTAAATCATGAGTTTCTAATTGTGTTGACAGCCTTCACTACAACTCTCACCCAACTCTAGAGCGTGCAGAACAAAGGTTAGCATGCAGTACTTTCTATTAAGGTTGAATACCTGTAAATATTCCTCAAATTCTTCTCTTTTTGATGTGAGGAACTCGTAATTCTTTGGTCCAATAATTCTTTTGGATGGAAGCTGCGCATCTGCAAATGTGCCTGGAAAATATTGATGGAATAAAACATTCACATGTAGCTCTTTATGGAGAACATATACGGAAAAATGTTTTAAACAGCTGTGGGCTAATGTTGTCATTAGAGTTACCGTGGAACTCGGTGAGTTTGGATTCTAGTACGTAGAACTCCAGATATCTTCTGTAGACCGACCACTTTTCAGTTTCATGACCAGCTGCAAGAAGAGGGCGACAAATTACAACATGTCTGACTGTTAAAGGCTAACGCGTGGGGAAGTTGATGACTCGAGCCACAGACTCCACTGACATTTGTCTCTGTGTAAAAAAAAATCTATTTGGTCTGAAAGCAAATAAATCTGATTAGTTATTCAATTGTCTGCTGCTTTTGTCCCTGGATCAAAATTATCAGTCAAAACAAATTCCTACTCCTGACCAACTCAAAGGGAAACCTGGGGCCTATATTCACTACGTTGGTGTTGTAATGACTCGTAGGCTTTGAATCCGTACAGTAAATGGTTTCAGCCGGCAGCTGAAAAGGTCGCAGACGACAGTGCAAACGAGAGTCAGAGTTGGAGAGAGGAGTTTGTCGTGTTGGAGTAACGTTAGGAAATAAAGTCTTGCTAGCTCCTCGACGTACTAGGGCTGCAACTAATGATTCATTTCATTAATCTTATCATTAATCTTGATTAATTGATTCGTTTTTTGGTCGATAAATTGTAAAAAAATGGTGAAAAATGTCGCTCAGCGTTTTTTTTTTTTAGTTTACTGTCACAGAGGAGGAAAGAAACCAGAAAATATTCACATTTAAGAAGCGAAAATTAGAGAACGTTTACTTCTTTTTTCTTTAAAACAGGACTCAAACTGATTAATCAAATAGTTGGCGATTAATCTGTGCAGCTCTAATCCATACACGACAAACTCCACTACTTCGTTTTCATCACCAGGTTTAACAATACCGAGACATTCCTTTAATGACACACATAATGAGTGACACATGTTTTGGGTTTACCAAACAATTTAGATAAATGTAGACGTCAGTAGGCCAAAGTGAAGTATGTTTCTATGACATGAAACGGCTCAGCGTTGTAGATCTACGTTCACATACCGGTAGAGTGCAGTGACAGAGGCTTGTGTTTCGCGCTCGCTCACCTTCCTTCCTGTCGTTGCGTTCCACGTCGATGCAGAAGACGGGGATCTTCTCCCTCTTGGCCTCGTCGTCGTAGATGTCGATGTAAGGGATGGTGATGCTCCAGGCCGACAGGTTCCTCAGGGCGCCCGGTGTGCTGGCCGGCTCGGCGGGGCAGTCGTCCTCCATCACGACAGTCGCCTCCTCCACCTGCAGGGACACAAAGAGCCAAACCGAGGAACAAATAATCACTTTTACTTTGAAGTTTGGTGAGGTTAAATTAAATTATGTGTAATTTTCTGCGTAACACCTAAATTGTGTGAGTGGAGGACAGATAAAATTATTTATAAAGGAGTAGATGGATGTATTGAAAGAAAGGATAAAAGGAAAGTAGATAAATGCTTCGTTTTGCAAACCGTCAACAGGAGGTAGAGATTCTCATCGCAGCTCCTAATTTTACACCCGTGAAAAAGACACACTCACCAAATCCTCGCCGAAGTCGTTCATGGCGCTGGGTGGCAGCATGGCTCCCTCCATGGTCGTGCTCTTGAACACACCTTTGATTTTGCTGCCAATCCTGCTGATCCCGAACGACTCGCCTCGTTTTGAAGTGTTTCTGGGGTGAACAGAGAAATACGCTGATGCACGCATCTAACCTGCATTACGACTACAACACGACCCCTTTAATCTCATCTCTTCAGTCTAAATATTCTGTCAGCTTTGTTTCCATCCTTCTTTATCACGCTCAGGTGTTTGAAAACTGTAAAATGACTCGTTGACAGAGCATTTACCTTCGTGTTATGACAACTGATGGGAAAAAAACTGACTTTCTCTGTGTGGTGCATCAGTCATGCAGCAGACATGCAGACAGCTAAATGTCTTTTTTAACCACGGGTAAAAGCAGCTTGTACATTTTGAAAACTACTTTCTAACGTTTAACCAGGTGTTGTGACAATATGTGGGCGCCTCACAAAGTGCCTATTCTTTCATTCGATATTTACTTATTTAAACACATATCTTGCGCATTTTAGACTGTATTTTATTGAGGGAATGATCTCATGGTGCAAAACAAAATGAACCTCTGATGCATTTGAGAAGTTTCACTTACTTCCTCTATGTAAGGGGAAGATATCACTCTGGTATCATATTGAAAATTAGGTATTGTACTGGCAAAGTTACAGACAAAAAAAAACTATACCTAGCCCTATTTAAAGGAGTTACAGATGTTTGCAAGTGGCCATGTTGGAAAGGAGACAAAGCAAAGCTTCTATTTTAACGTCAAGACACTGAACTGAACAAGACACAGTGATGCATCATGATGCTGCTGCATGTCAGCGTCAGTTTGAGGTTAAAAGGTTGAAAGTCTCATTCTAAGGTAAAAGAAAACTTCCAATCCCGGTCGGAGACAAACATCCATCATCTCAAACATGGAGTTAAAGTCAGAGTGCAAGCATCAGCGTGACACGCACACACAGACAAAAGCCCAGCAGAGGCTCATGACGTTAAGATTTGTAAATCAAGGACTAGTTTGTTACACAGGAGACATGTTTGATCCACAGAGCAGCGTACAGTTGAATTATACCGTATCTGCATGCATCATAATATGATTATAATACTGCGCACTGGTTGTTTGCATATAGTATCTTGCAAGCAGCAGACTCTGTGAGGCCAGGTAACATGCCGAATACCCACTTACCTGTTTTCTTCCAAACTGAAGCTATTTCTGGAATAGGATGCACAAGAGCAACTAATGATGACAGTTTGGACAAAAGACCTTCAAGGGAGCAAACCTTAGAGGGCTGTTCTCTACTACTAAATGCAGGAACAGTGTAAAAACAAAACACCTTTTGAGTGTTGAATCATGTCTGGTTTAGTGCGCTTTAGATTGCGAGCTGGGAGGGGGGGTTACACACAGTAGCTGATTCAGAGCAGACTCTATTCATTCAACTTACACTGTAAATTTCCAGCTAAACTGAGGCTTTTCTCTCTCTCTCCTGACATCCACCGGTCTTGTGCAGAGTTTTGCGTGCATGCCGTGCTGCCGACAGCTCCGTGCACGTCGCGGTTCCTCGCGGGTCAATTTCAAGTAGCCGGCTGTTTAAAAACGCTAAAATATTCTTTGGGCGGTTCATCGACGGTGATAAATTATCCGAAAGTCCCGCGAGGTGCGGACAACTCGGCACAACACCAGTGAGGCCGGGGCTCCTCTTCCGCCACCGCACACATACACGCTACGTACGCCTCAAACATGCAGGGCATCGTCTGCAGCTTCACCACGTCGGCGTACGAGAGGGAGGACAGCGTGTGGTTAGACTGCTTTCACTCTGTGTTTCTGTTCAGAGAGGTAAAACGTTTACACAGGAGACAAACAGGAAGGTACTACACAAGTTTGTACACAAATAAAAGTAACTCAACACCAGGCTGAGAAGTGGAACTTCACTGCCCTCCGTGGTTCAAAGTTTCATGTCTGTTTTACCTGTACATCACTGCAGCAAGGTGTTCATGAACATCTCTTCTTTTATCATTTGCAATTATTGCTCAACTCTTACACTAAACAGTGAGGAAAATAATTCACAAAAAATTCAATGAATTATGACAAATAAGACCCATAAACTTCAACAAACTGATTTTAAAATTAGTGGAAAACACCTTTAAAGAGATTCTATGGTCTCAGGTGAACGATGAAAAACCAAAAGTAGTAGTTATATCACTACCCACACACACGCTACGCCTACACATGCGCACTGCCGCTCCAGGGTTAGGGTTACAATTTTGGATTTATTCATGCACTTCAAAAAAATTTATTGAAAGTTATATTCTTTTTACATGTTTATTTACAGCATTAAACATTGAAATGTATATTGTAATAGGCTGCATATTAACTTATTGGGCGAAAACTGGTAATTCTATGTAAAATCAGACGTTGAGCACCCCCATATCACCAAAATGGCGTGATCCCTGTTTCACTGTGAAGCTTAGACTACGAGATTGACAGTGGAATCAGGCTCCGCCCATCAAAGCATCAAATCTTTGACTAGTGAGGGTCAGCTCTAGTAAGTATGTTTTTAGTTTAAGTAGTGCTTGTGTTCAGCATCTCCTTACAATTTGTTCGGTGTGGAACGTGATGTTAAATATAATGCCAGTAAGAGCGTCGCCATGATCTGCAGAACTTAAGATGGTAATTGTTTAAAATATCCTGACTTCAAACTGGCTAACAACAAGCCTAGTGTCTATTTTAGTTTAGGGGATATAAAGATATCTCTGTTCGAAGCATGTTGTACTCCACTCTCTACTGCGCACTTGTGGTCAAATTATAGAACGGCAAGTCTGCAAAAACTAGGACCTGACGTTACAATGTAATTACTACTCAAGAGACCAAGATGGTGTAGTGCAGGAGAGATGTTTGTGGCTGAAGGAGTAAGGACCTTTCATTCTGTCTTGAGAACCCTCTTGTATAAATTAATGCGCTGGCTTAATGGTTCACAAAATGAAATAATTTTGAGCTTGACCAATCCCATATGTCTTGATTGTCTTTTAAAATCATTTTAAAATTCTTCTAACCAGGATTTACTAAGGTGTTTTTTATTATGTACAAATGTGTGTATGCGGGCATGTATATATATGTTTTGTTGTGGGTAAGATCTGGACCTTGAGTCTGTAATAAAGTTTTGATTGATTGATTGATTATGTTTGTATTATTTTTTTCAGTGGAATTCCCCCCCCCAGCACCTTGTCACATGTTTAACTCTTGTGTACTTTTATTCCCGCGTGACAAAATAAATTAAAAGCAAACTAAAAGTCTAATTTAAAAAACAGGCACTATAACATACCTGTTAATTCTTGAGTTCCTCGTTGGAGACTCGGCGCCTCTCAGCAGGTGTCTGAAGTACTGAACACAGAGAGGCGACACAGTCAGTGCACAAATTACAACTAATGTATGACTGGAAGTCCTGGATGTAGCACATTTAAATTAAATTTGAGGTAGAGCCAATTTTCATACTGTTGGGTAGTTTAATCAATAATCCATCTGCTTTGTTTGTTAAAAGCTGAACATGAAAGTTAACAAGTAACTAAAGCTGTGCGATTAATGTAGAGTAATTAAAAGTACAATATTTCCCTATAAAATGGAGTGAAGTATAAAATATATAAACTTTGTTATTTAGCAACAATGAAACAGTTGAAACCTGTATTTGTTTCTACTCGTCG